GCGCCCCCCACCCCCCGCCAGTCGGGGGCGCAGGGCCCCGAGTGGGGTCTCCCCAGGCACCACACAGTCCGGTCTCAGGTCACCGCTGTGGCGGGCCGCGCTGCCCCCAACTGCCGCCCCAGGCGGGTCCTGCTGGCTCAGGCCGCCCCTGCTGCTAGCACGGGCCGGGGCCACGCCAGGCTCACTGCCCCTCACCTCACCCCGCGGGGCCCGCTGCTTGGAGGTCTCGGCGGGGACAGCTAACAGCGAGAGCAGGTGGTGTCAAGGTGGAGTCACAGCAAACAGCCTTTGATTACGAAAATTTGAGTCCCGGGTGATGTTTGTGATGTTTGAGTACGTGCATCTGTGGGTCACACTGCAGTGCCCGCTGGGCCGAGGCTCTGGGCCTCTGGGAGCCGTTAAAAACCGGGCACCGCACCCCGTGATTTCAAGTAGCCAGGTTCCCGCTGGGGGTCGAGGTGTGCGGTTAAGGGTGGGGCTGTGTGGACCCCATCATCTGTGGGGTCCGTGGCACCTTTTCAGATGACATGTCAGGCTTCGCTGCTGTTCAAATAGCGCAGAAAACGGCCTGTGTCTGCAGCGCCCCCGCCCGGCCTTCCGGTCCTTCCCGGAGACAGAGGGCCCGTCACGCTCGGGGCACCCGGCCTGACGCCAGCAGGGGGCCTTCCGGGCCTGGCCGTAGCTTGACAGATTGGTTTTGTGGGTGCGTCTCCAGAGCGCGCCGTTCCGCCCTCCTGGGCTTTGAGCAGAGCTCGCCTTTCTTTTCAAATCAGTCGCTCCTGTCAACTTTTCACTCGAGTCCAAAGTTTGGGGTGAAAGTGGAGTAGAAAGCCTTCCCTTGGCCTGCTATTCTCCCATTTGCTTCCAGCCACTATTTGAACAAGTGCGACGACAATAATAAACTCGGAACATTGCCGGAGGACCCGTTGTTAGGGTGTTCCTGGCGCTTCTCGAGCTAGAACCCCTCGGCCGAGGCCCTGTCTGGGCGGCATTTGACCCTTCTCTGGGCCAGCGAAGTGCGGGCGCAGCTGCTAGGCACGCAGCTGCCCTCGCTGCGGGGCCGCACTGTGCTGTGGGGGCCTGGCCCGCCAGGGCGGCTCCTGCATGCCCCGCCGCGCCCTGACCGGCCCTCCCTCTTCCCCACAGAAGACCCACCAGAGCGCCCTGCAGGTGCAGCAGAAGGCGGAGGCCATGCTGCAGGCCAGCCACTACGACATGGACACCATCAGGGACTGCGCCGAGAAGGTGGCCTCGCACTGGCAGCAGCTCATGCTCAAGATGGAGGACCGCCTCAAGCTGGTGAACGCGTCCGTGGCCTTCTACAAGACCTCGGAGCAGGTGGGCGGGCCTCCGCGTCCGGCGCCCGCCCGCCCCCCGGACCTGTCGGAAGCAGCACCCCCCCCACGGCCCCTGGGCTTCTCTTGGGTGCAGAGGCCGACGGCTGGGCGGGCGGCCGAGGGCCCCGGCCTCTGCTCACACAGCATCCCGGGAGCTCAGAGGGAGACCGCACAGGCCTCGCCTGCACTCCACTCCCGGCCCGCCCTGGCCTCGAGGGCGCCGGCGGGGGCGCCCGAGGCCCTGGCCACCCCGCGGCCTGTGTCTGAGCCAGACTCTTGCCCACAGGTCTGCAGCGTCCTGGAGAGCCTGGAGCAGGAGTACAAGCGGGAGGAGGACTGGTGTGGGGGGGCGGACAAACTGGGCCCCAATTCCGAGACGGATCACGTCACCCCCATGATCAGCAAGCACCTGGAGCAGAAGGAGGCCTTCCTGAAGGTGAGCCGCGCTGGGGCGGAGCCTCCCGGCCCTGCTGCGGCCCCTCTGATACGGGGCGGGGGGGCACCCCGAACCCCCAAACCTGCCTGCTCTAAATAGGTTCTGCCACCCGCCTCATCAGGATAAAACATTTAAGACCTTTAATGGAAAGTAACTAATACACGAGTGTACAGCACAGAAGACAAAGAATATAATACCCAAAGCAAACACCTGAAGTGACCCGTCCCCTCGTGGGCCAAAGCCCACCCAGAAGGGACTGGCCCAGAGCAAGGCCTGAGAGCTGCCACGGTCTAAAGCACCTTCTGGCCGGGACCCATGGGAAAGGGCCAGACAGGGCCAGACACGTCTGGGAGGAAAAGAGCGACATCAAAATCAGTAAAGCACTGCCCTAGTCGCCTCCCCGCGGGTCTCTCACCCACATCGCTTCCAACCAGTGGGGCAGGAACCAGCGCGATTCCTCACCTGGCCCCCTTTGCCCCAGGTGGCGTCCTCAGGTCAACTCTGGCTCCCCACCCTGCTGCCTCCTCCTCAGATTCCTTCTCTTCTCTCCCTTTTCTCTTCTCAGCTCCACCCTCCTCCTGGGTGGGGCAGGGAACCTGGAACTTCCCCTTTTCCTGGGGCCCCCACCCCAGTTACACCTTCTCGGGGACCCTCACACCCCAAGACTCCAACTTTGTCCCCGGGTGAACGTGGCATCGGCCTTAAGTTATGTGATCAGAGGAAACCGCAGCCTCCTGCTCACGGTGCTCCCTCCTCCAGCGTCCCCGAGAGAGAGCGGGCGTCTGTGGAGTGGGGGGGGGGGCGGATTAGGGGGGCGGCGCCCCGCACCAGCAGCTCAGAGTAGGCGGGGGTTAGCGGCCTCAGCTGGCCTCCGCCTGCAGCGCGCTCCTGCGAAGCCGCCTCGGCCGCGGGGACTGCGGGTAGCGCTCCCGGGCAGGGGTCTGAGGGCAGTGCCCCGGGCAGCGAGGGACACAGCCGCGGTCCTCCCCTTCACGGTGTGCTTTGACCAACTGAACCTCTAAAAAGTGCGAGAGGCCTGGGGCGTCAGGGCGCCCTGGCTGCGTCCCTGGACAGGGCCCTGGACGGGCCCTCTGAGCGCGGGCGCCTGGCGGGCAGACCTGTCAGAGGGGGCTGTCCAGGTCCCCCCCCGGCTTTACCGGGGCTGGGCTTTCCTCGTCGCCACACGCCTGACCCCACTTGCTGACTGTCAATACTTCGGCTTCGTTTCTGAAGGTGGTGGTCAGTCACGGCAGAGTGACTGTCCAGCCTGGGGAAACGTGTGATTCTGACGCGACGCGCTCGCCAGCTTGCTTGTGAGCGTCCACCGGGGTCTTCTTCGCGAGCCAGTCTGGGGTGACCCTGATTCTGCTGAGTTAATGTAATCAAGAGAGACACAGGCCACGTTAGGAAGCAGTGACGCTGCGAGCCTGTCAGTCTCCTTCCTCAGCTCGGACTCTGCTGTTCAGGTTGTCTGTCTTGTACGTGTCGTCGGGCGTTTAGTGACACGTGCAGAAGCGGACAGAACAGTGACGGGCCCACAGGGGCCTCTCCGTGCGCTCAGCGAGTCTCGGGGCGGC